TTCTACAAGATGCCATTGGTAGCAAAATTGCAGATATATGTCGTAGCAATATCTTTACAGACACAGATCCTAGGGCAAGAGAGACTAAGGAGAAAATAAACAAATGGGATTACATCAAAATAAAAAGGTTCTGCACAGTAAAAGAAACCATCAACAAAACAGTAAGAAAGCCCACTGCATGGGAGAACATATTTGCCAATGTTATCTCTGATAAGGGTTTAATCTCCAACATTTACAGGGAACTCATACAATTCAACAAAAGGAAAATAAACAATCCAATCAAAAAACGGGCAAAGGAACTAAATAGAATCTTTTCGAAAAAGGACACTCAGAAAGCCGAGAGACACATGAAAACATGCTCCAAGTCACTAATCATCCGAGAGATGCAAATCAAAACGACAATGAGGTTCCACCTTACACCTGTCAGAATGGCTATCATCAACAAATGACAAGTGCTGGAGAGGATGTGGAGAAAAAGGAACCCTCCTTCACTGCTGGTGGGAATGCAGACTGGTGCAGCCACTGTGGAAAACAGTATGGCATTTCTTCAAAAATTTAAAAATGGAACTGCCATTTGATCCAGTAATACCACTTCTAGGAATATATCTCAAGAAAACAGAAACACCAATCAGAAAGGATCAATGCACCTCTATGTTGATAGCAGCACAGTTTACAATAGCTACGATTTGGAAACAACCTAAATGCCCATCAACTGATGAGTGGATTAGAAAACTATGGTACATCTACACAATGGAATACTATGCTGCTATAAAAAATAAGGAACTCTTACCATTTGCAGCAGCATGGATGGAACTGGAGAGCATTATGCTAAGTGAAATAAGCCAGGAAGTAAAAGAAAAACACCACATGATCTCACTCATTTATAGATAATAAAGACCATTATAACCTGATGAACGAAAGGTAGATACAGAGGCAGAGAAGCATGGAACAGACTGTCAAATTACAGCAGAAAGGCCGGGGAGGGTTGTGGGAGGGGGGAGGTAAGAGAACAACTGAAGGACTTGCATGCATGCATATAAGCATAACCAATGAACACAAGACACTGGGGCGGTGGGGTGAGGGCATGTGCCGGGGGGTAGGGGTGGCTGGGGGAAGGTCAATGGGGAGGAAAAAAAAGGAGACATATGTACTACTATCTGTAATACTTTAAACAATAAAATAAAATTAAAGAAGAATACTTGAACAGAAAAAAAAATTAATGCCATGCCCTAGCTGGTATGATTCAATGGATAGAGCGTCAGCCTGCGGATTAAAGAGTCCTAGGTTCGATTCTGGTCAAGGGCACATGCCCAGGTTGTGGGCTCAATCTTCAGTGGGGCCGTGCAAGAGGAAGCCAATCAATGATTCTCTGTCATCATTGGTGTTCCTCTCTCCTTCTCCTTTCCTCTCTGAAATCAATAAAAATATAAAAAAATAATGCCAGGCCCGGCCAGTGTGACTCAGTGGTTGAGCATTGACCCATAAACCAGGTCACAATTCAATTCCCAGTCAGGGCACCTGCCTCGGTTTTGGGCTCAATCCCCAGTAAGGTGTGTGCAGGATGCAGCCAATCAATGATTCTCTCTCATCAATGATGTTTCTATATCTCTCTCCCTCTCCCCTTCTCTCTCTGAAATCAATAAAAACATATTTTAAAAAAGTAATGTCAGTTCATGAAAAATTATCATATGCCTCTTGGAATTCTTGGAGAGTTTCTTTTTTAAAATTTCTTTATTGATTAAGTTATTACATATGTGTTCTTATCCCCACATTACCCCCCATCTCCTCCACCCATGCCCTCACCCCCCTGGTGTCTGTATCCATTGGTTAGGCCTATATGCTTGCATATAAGTCTTTTGGTTGATCTCTCTCCCTTACCCCCACTCTCCCCTACCTTCCCTCTGCGGTTTGATGGTCTGATGGACACTGTTTCTTTATCGACTGAGCATCTTCTGTCCTATCTTACAAGGATGGCAAAAGAAGGTTCCAAAAAAATTCTCCTTTCTATGGGGTGAGGCTACTGCAATATCTAAGGTCCAGGCACAAATCACACAGTTTTCATAAGTTTTAATAAAGGGTTTAAGATATGCTTCTATTATTCTACCAAGAAAAGACCCTAATTTAATTAGCTAACTGAAATGTGTGGCCCTCAAACTTGGCCCCACACGGGAATTTCTAGGGAGCTTTAAAACACACTGGTATTCTCAAGATATTCTGATGTAATTGGTCTGAGATGGGATAGGGGTCAGTATTTTTAGAGGGTCTTCAAGTGATTTTTAATGCCCATCTACAGTTGAGAATCCACTGTTATAAAATATAGAGGGAAGACTGTCATATTCCCTCTATAGTTTTTAAAAAAGGTTGTCTTCATCTACTATCCGGGTTCTGGCTACTTATACAGTCACATATAGACGCTGCTTCTAACTGCAAGCAAATGATTTCCCACAGACAGTCATCAACCAAACATACTGTATTAGTTTCCTAGGGCTGCTATAACAAAGTACCACAAACTGGGGGGCTTAAAACAACTGAAATGTATTGCCTCACAGGTCTGGAAGCTAAAAATTCAGATGTCTGCTAGGCTATAAGAGAGAATCATTCCACACCTCTTCTAGCTTTCGGTGTTTTCTGCCCATCATGGGTGTTCCTTGGCTTGTAGATGCATCACTCCAGGGACAAGGTTACCATCTCCCCGTGCCTTCATTATAGTTCCCTCTATGCCTGTGTCTCTGTGTCCAAATTTCCATGCTAATGGCTTCATTTGATTACCTCTGTAAAGACCCTATTTTCAAATAAGGTCAAATTCTTAGGTACTAGAGGTTAGGGCTTCAACGTATCTTTTTTTGAGGGACACAATTCATCTCACAACACTAACCAACTACTGTATATGCCAGTAACACTGTTCCAAAGTGGACATAGCTCTCATGGAAATTCAGCATTTCCTACAATTATGAATATAGGTAACAAACTACACTAGTGGTACTGGTGGTTCTTAAGAATTTGTACCCATAAACACTATTGGTATTTTCATGTCACATTTCAGTACTTTCAGTTATCCACAAAATACCATTCACAGTCTTCATTACTTTGAAATTACAGTTGTTCATAGCCTTACTGTTCATAGCCTTACTGTTAATTTAATTCATACATTAAATCTAGTTAGGGATTTAATGTGTGAATAATGACTTATGTATATACTAAATACCAGAAGATAATACTTTCATAATTGTATTTCAGTAAAACTGATTTTGATTTATTGCATTTTATGCACTTAACATTATTCTGAAAGGAAGGTCAAAGTTTTACAAATCTATCAATAACCTACAGCCCCAGTTAGTGAATTCTTGCATTTCAGACTTGAGGTTTTTGTCTTTTTCTCAATCTCAGTATCAAAGCATATACAGAAATTTGTACATCATTTTTCAAATCTTTTTTAAAATCATGATCCACTGTGAGGTTATATATTTTATACATAGCCCCATACACAATCTTAGCGCTCTCTTTTTCTCTCTCTCTCTCATGCAACACAAAACTGAAACAAAAGTATCACAAAACAGTATTTACCCTTCCTACAAGAGATGCACCCTGCCATTTATATTTTATTTCTTTCCATTAAAAATGCCAGTGTGATCTACTGAATGAACTTCACAACTACTCTTGTAGCATCCTATCTAATAAAGAGGGAATATGCTAAATGACCCTCACACCATCACAAAGATGGAGGCGCCCACAGCCAATAAGGAGGGAAGATGCTAATTGTCTGTCCTGCCCTCAAAGATGGTGGCGCCCACAGCCAATAAGGGGGGGATATGCTAATTGACTGTCCTGACCTCATAGATGGCAGCGCCCACAGCCAATAAGGGAATATTCTAATTGACTGTCACGCTCTCAAAGATGGCGACGCCCAGTCCCCTCAGCCCCCCAGCTGCCCAGGGCCGCCCAAGGCTCAGGTAACCAGGACCGGCCGAGGCACAGGTAACCAGGGCCGGATGAGGCTTGCACTGCCGGCAGTGGCAGCAGCAGAGGTGTGATGGGGCGTCACCTTCCCCTGATTGCCAGGTTGCCTCCCGCCCCTGAGGGCTCCTGGACTGTGAGAGGGGGCAGGCCTGGCTGAGGGACCTCCCGCTCCAGTGCATGAATTTTCATGCACCAGGCCTCTAGTAAATTAAATAAAGCTTAAAAACCCTTTAGTGGCATTCCTTTAGAAACTTCTCATATCCTATATAATAAAAGCCTAATATGCAAATTGTCCCCTCAGGTGGTTGTTGGACCTAGAGTTTGACTGGGAGATCAGGAGTTCGACCACTAGCTATGACATGTGCTGACCACGAGGGGGCGGCACAAAACATGGTGGGCATCGGCAATGCGGCACTGGCAGTGGAGGCACTGCCGGCCCCGATGAGAACGGGACTGTGGCAGGATGGTGGAGCAGGTAAGTGGGTGGCGCCAGGCCAGGGCGGGGTGCCAGGCGGGGCTGCGGGGCTGGGGGGGTACGAGCTGGGGTTGCGAGCCTGGGGGCACGAGCTGGGGCTGTGAGCCCGGGGGTGCGAGCTGGAGCCCAATCCCCGCAGGCCACCCTGAGGGACCCCACCCGTGCATGAATTCATGCATCGGGCCTCTAGTTAGATTGTAATAGGTGAAAAGCTGTTATTACTGATATTCATGTACTACTTTGAAAATACATGTCGTCATTTTAGAGGTGGAATTTAGGTGAGTCAATAGTTCGACAGCTGACCAGGCTCCATTTAGACAACTGGTTATGAGTTATATAAGTTTTATAAATCTGATGGGAGTCTAAACTTAAACCTTACCAAATGCAGGAAGGAAAAGAGGTAAAATAATGAACATGTTTTGACAGAATCATTTTAAAATTACAAAAAATGCTTTAAGTGCATTATGTTTAATTTCATTGAGGTATTTGCTCATTCACCACTGTAAAATTGGGTACAAGCATTTCCCAAACCAACATTCACTTATGACCAGGCTAAAAAGAATTTTACCTGTAATAAACTCGAAGTGTCTGGATTTCTTCCTCCAGTTTTTTGTACTGTTGAACTGCAGTTTCTCTGGCTTGTTGCATGGCTAACAACTTTGCCTGCAAGCAATCAAATATTTTAAGAAATTTAAAATTAGTTTGATATGTTAAAATACAGTACCATAGTAAGAATAGGAGTTTTAAATTTATGATAGTTCTAAACCTATCAGTATTTTTAGGAGTGTTTAATAATTTTACACAAAATAATCCAATTATATCAATAACAGAAATACTGCAGACTTGAACCTATTAAAAATATACCAACTTTTCTCATTCCTAAACTTCAACCTTATTCATCTGTATCATCAGATATATGCCCTTCTGCAATGTTTAACTTTAACACAGAATTCAGAATGTGGAACAGGGGTTCAGAGCACTATCAAGAGTTGAGATAAGCACACTGGGTATTTCAGATACAAATTTAATGTGGCTCCACTGCCTGATCAGACTAGATTTTCTTTTAACTTTATTAATAGTAAAACTCAGAAAATTCTAAATATGTTGTTAAGCCATCTTTGATATTTAACATTAAAAAACGCACACACAAGACTGATTCCTACAGATATGATTTAACCTTTTCCATTCTTTTTCTGCAGGAAAAAAGTCTCTAAAGGGAGAATGGGAGCAATCCTGAGTATTAGAGATATTTTATTCAAGAAATGCTATTGTTCCTCTCTGCCTGTAAAATTCAAACTAAAGGTTCTGGAATCAGTATTTCTAAAGGGCTCAAACTAGTAATTTTAAAAGAATTGCCACCTTCCAATCATCATTCCTATTGGATTTCAGGCATAGCCAAAATGTTCTCAATGTAACTTTTAAAACATGGTACTGAAAAATCAAGTTTCAGTTTTGTTTACGTGGAGTTTAATTTGCATGAAAACAATGTCTTTCACTTTAAATGATGTTTGATAGATAGTACAGAGCAAATTATTATCACACATCCCACAAACTACACTAATGCAATAGAGGCAGAAATTCACTAATTTTGCTGAATTCCTATGATTTACTGGAATTATTTTCTTACATAAGGAAGTCATAAGACAAATTGTGAAATCCTGATCATAGTGTAATATAAGTGATCACTAAACAATGCCACTTTTCTATTTTAATAACGGAGAATTATAAAAACATACAGCAGTATGGATCTTTGTGTATAAATTTAGGCACTAAATTAATTAATTTTTCTCTATCTTGGCTAGCAAATTCTAACAATTACGTCATACAATAGAATACTACTCAGCCATAAGAAAATATGAAATTCTGCCATTTGTGACAACACATAGATAGACCATGAGAATGTTACAAAGTGAAATAAATCATGCAGAAAAAGCTAAGAACCATATGATTTCACTCATATGTGGGCTATAAAACTGAAACTCGTGGACACAAACAGCAATGTGATGGCTACCACAGGGAAGCGGGTGGGGAGGTGGTGGTGGGTGGAGGAAGATGACTTGACTTTGGGTGGTGGGCACACAGTGAAATATACAGATCTTATAACATACAAATCCATACCTGAAACCAATATGATCCTATTGACCAATGTCACACCAATAAATTTAATTAAAAATTAAATTTAAGATGTTTGAGCACTTGTTTTATGTTACATTCTAGAATTATAGATGAACCATTCTCATAAATTATTAAAAAGCATTTAAAATAAAATAGGTGCCTGGTTCTTGATGCCAATAATTAACAACTTTGCCATCTTTCAGTATAATATAAAATGTGATTGAAATAGCAGCTTGGGAGACACAGATAACCACTGTGTCAGTGGCAAGTAAAAAAGATTCATACAAAAAAAGCACATATCATATTAAATTTACATGTATTTAAGAAATATCAATATTAGACAGGTAACAGACAATTTGCTAAATAAGTGTTACTTTAATTGATTATTCTGACTTTTTTTTTTTTAACCTGGTACTTCTAGGGAAAAAACACACAACCCAAAAATATAAACCCATGTTCTAGCAGGAAAATGCCATAATGAAGCTTCTGCTTAAGAAAGTTCTGCCATAAAAATAGAATCATGAAAACTTTATTTAAATTCCTAAGTGTTGGGTAATATTGAAAATTTCACTTTCCACGTATAGTTGGTTATAAAGATTTGGTGTTGTGTTACAGCAATCAACTTAATTTACCAATTCCAAACATCTAATCTTCTGCCGAGGCACTGGAGACTGCCTTCAAAGCTATGATAAACTTTGTGGCGTTACACCTCCTTCCTCTACCAGTATGTTTTTATCTGGCCACCACATCTTTTTTGGAGGGAAATGCCCTATGCCACAGTGATCTTGTTCAGTCCTGGGGGATGAACTCAGGTAGATATGATCCAGGTTGCTCTAAACCATTAGGCCTAAGGAGAAAATAATCCTGATGACATCCTTTGTGTCCTCGGATCCCTGAGGACCAAACAAATTCTCATCCATTTCTTGGACTTCCTGGGTACAGTAACCTTTTGTTTCTTTGTGTTTATGCTAGTTTGAGTTGGCTTTATGTTATATGTAATGTAAGAAAATAAAACTACAAAAAATCTAATTTAAATGTGCTGTTTCTATTGCATTTTCTAATTTTATTAATAGCACATAATTCCAACATGTTACACATCAAAAATAAATTTCATATCACCAACATTAAGAAAATTAACAAATCAGATATTTTTCCTGGTTTTGTGCCATTATATTTCCCATAATCTTTGGCAATTATTTTTTATAAAAACTGCATGCATTCATTTATGTTTATACTCACATAAAAATACATGTAAAAAACAAAATTCAAAAAGTATAAAAAAGATACAATGTTAAGTAA